CCTGTTTGTGGGATGCCATGACTGCAGATTCATTGACTTCCTCAAAGTATTGAGCAAAAGACCCCTCTTAGTCAAAATCTCATTCCTTAACTATTGTTTTCCTCGTGACCAAAAAGGTCAATGGTGTCTTGGGGTGCATTAAGAAGAGTGTGGCAGGCAGGTTGGGGGAAGTTATCCTCCATCTCTGTGGTACTCTAGTGAGGCCACATCTGGAGTATTGTGTCCAGTTCTGGGTTCCCACACTCAAGAAAGACAAGGAACTACTGGAGAGTCCAGTGGAGGTCTACAAAGATAAGGAGGGGACAGAGCACCTCTCTTATGTGAAAAGGCTGAGATCTGGGTCTGTTTAGCCTGGAGAAGAGAAGACTGAGAGGATATCTCATCAGAGCTTATAAACATCTAAAGGGTAGGTGTCAAGAGGTGGTGCCCAGAGACAGGACAAGGAGCAATGGACACAAACTGGAATGCAGGAAGTTTCACGTGAAGATGAAAAACCTTCTCTACTTTGAGGGTGACAGAGCACTGGGACAAGCTGCCCAGAGAGGTTGTGAAGTCTACTCCTCTGGAGAGGTTCAAAACTCACCTGGATGCAATCCTGTGCACCCTGTTCTAGGTGAACCTGCTTGGGCAGGAGGGTTGGACTAGATGATCTCCAGAGGACCCTTCAAACCCCTACCATACCATATGATTTTCTGTGTGTATTATACCCATTAGTCTTCAGAGTATGAAATAAAATTAGGCTTTAGAGTATGAGTATGAAACTCTTCCCCCTCTACTCTGCCCTGGTGAGGCCACATCTGGAGTCCTGCGTCCAGTTCTGGGCTCCTCAGTTCAAGAGGGGCAGGGATCTTCTGGAGAGAATCCATTGGAGGCCACAAAGATAATGAGGGGCTGGAGCATCTTTCTTATGAGGAAAGGCTGAGAGAGCTGGGACTGTTCAGCCTGGAGAAGAGAAGATTGAGAGGGGACCTTATCAGTGTCTATAAATATCTGAAATGTGGGGGCCAAATGCATGGGGCTGGGCTCTTTTTGGTGGTGGCTGGTGACAGGACAAGGGGCAATGGGCAAAATCTGGAACACCAGAAGTTCCAGACAAACTTAAGGAAAAACTTCTTTACTGTGAGGGTGACGGAGCACTGGGACAGGCTGCCCAGAAAGGGTGTGGAGTCTCCATCTCTGGAGACATTCAAAACATGCCTGGACGCCTTCCTGTGTAACCTGGTGTAGGGAACCTGCTTTGGCAGGGGGCTTGGACTGGATGATCTCCTGAGGTCCCTTCCAGCCCCTGCAATTCTGTGATTCTGTGATTCTGTAAAATTATATCAATTTTCTTTAGATATATGTAGTTTAGATTGTATGCTGAATATTCATGCTAAGCATGACTAAAGGAGTCCACCTCATTGCAAAGAGGAGGATAGCCCCACCTGGAGATAAGGACCTTTGTTTCTCAGAAACTTAAAGCTGTCCACAAAGGGTAAAGGATACCCCTGCACTACCAAGATATCTCCAGGATCCTAGCCCCTCTAACATCTCTGTGAACCCCTCCCCACACCCTTGTGAACCCCTCCCATTATCTGGTGTCATAGATAAACAACGGTAGCAACACCAACTCCAGGGATAACTAGATCAATAAAGAAACAGGTGGATAACGACACCATGGACTTGTCATTGCTTTCCAAACAGTAGTGTCTGTGTTAAACAGCAATTAGTCAAATCATGTTGTAACTGAATGCTTGAAAGGTGTAAGAACCATGTGTAAAACCACATTAGAGTTTCCCAATTTAGCTGGGACACCTTTTGCACATAAATAACAGAACTACTCTTGCGATTCTCTACTTTGAGTGCTAGCCTCTCTCAGTTGACACGGGCTAGTTGTGAATTTTTGCGACATTCCCAAATGGATTCAACTATTGAGTGTTGTGAGAAACCAGGTGAAATATTTCAGAGCATTAGGCCCAGCTTCCTTGGTAGTGGAGGATGATGCAGTATCCGTGTGAAAAAAAAGAGTAGCTTTGAGTGCTCAGAGAATTCCGAAGTACGTTATATAAGTCTTAATTTCTACATACCTGACCCTTGAGCAATCTGTGGACTGTGTTCCCCATCCGTGGTCACAAAAGAAGGTGGCAGTTGTCCACAGGGTATCTCAATGGAGCTTTCTATGGCAAAAATATTGTCTGTTTCTTGTAGAATGCTTGTCTGGGCCAGTGAAGATAGATCTTCTCCTTGTGGATTAATCCACATCACTTTGGGCTTTTCATAGGAACCTCTTATTCTGCCCTTGTATGTACAAGTGCCTGACTGTGGCACAATAATTTCATTCATGGAACCTGTAACAGAGGCAATTTAACAGCACCACAACTGACACAACACAGAAATATCAAGTATGCCATGAAAGAGATCTCACAGAACACGTGCACTTTTGTTGTGGTTTCATCTACAATCAAAACCATCTGGCTTTTGAGCATTTCATTTGTAATGATTCCACACCTGAGAGAGCCTCTGAGCTTTGTGTGTAAGAGTGAAATTGGTGAAATAAATGAAAACAGACAAGATTGTGTACACTACGC